ACTAAAGAGCTTCTGCACAGCAAAAGAAACTATCATCACAGTGAACAGGCAACCTACAGAATGGGAGAAAATTTTTACAATCTATCCATCTGACAAAGGGCTAATATCTAAAATCTACAAAGAACTTAAAGAAATTTACAAGAAAAAAAACAACCCCATCAAAAAGTGGGCAAAGGATATGAACAGACACTTCTCAAAAGAAGACATTTTTGCAGTCAACAAACATATGAAACAAAGCTCATCATCACTGGTCATTAGAGAAATGCAAATCAAAACCATAGTGAAATACCATCTCACACCACTTAGAATGGCGATCATTAAAAAGTCAGAAAACAACAGATATATATATATTTTATCAATGTAATGATTTCATTGTAAATTCTGTGGTTTTTAGCATATAGACAATAATGTATCTATGAATAATTATATTTCTAATTATTTCACTCCAACTTTATTTCTCTTTTTTCCTTTTTTTAATTGACAAAATTGTATATTTATTTAAGGTATATAACATGATGTTTTAATATATGTATATATTGTGAAATGACTAAATCAAGCTAATTAACCTCACACATCTTTTTTGATGGTAAGAAAATTTAAAATCTACTCTCTGAGCAATTTTTAAGCATATAATACATTGTTGTTTCCTATAATCACCATGTTGCACAATAGAATTCTCACTTATTCCTCCTGTCTAACTGAAATTCTACATTCTTTAACCAATATCTTCCCTGTCTCCTACTCTCCAGCCCCTGGTAACCACCTCTCTGCTTCTGTGAGTTCAACTCTTTTGGATTCCACATATAAGTGAGACCTTGTAGCATTTGTCTTTCTATGCCTGGTTTATTTCACTTAGCATAATGTGATCCAGGTTTATCCTTCTTGAAAATGACAGGATTTCTTTCTTTCTTAAGGCTGAATAGTATTTTGTTGTGTATATATACCATATTTTTCTTATTCATTTATTTGTTGATGGACAGTTAGGTTGTTTCCATATCTTAGTTATGGATAATAATGCTGCAGTGAACATGGGAGTGCAGATACCTCTTCAATGTAAGTATTTCATTTCCTTTGGATATATATCCACAAACATAATGGCTCGACCATATGGTAGTTCTGTTTTTAACTTTTTTTTTTTTTTTTGAAATGGAGTCTTGCTCTGTCACCCAGGCTGGAGTGCAGTGGCGCGATCTCGGCTCACTGCAACCTCTGCCTCCCGGGTTCAAGCAATTCTCCTGCCTCAGCCTCCCCAGCAGTTAGGACTACCATGCCCAGCTAATTTTTGTATTTTTAGTACAGACAGGGTTTCACCACATTGGCCAGGCTGGTCTCAAGCTCCTGACCTCATGATCCACCCGCCTCGGCCTCCCAATGTGCTGGGATTACAGGCATGATCCACCGTGCCGGGATCTGTTTTTAACTTTTTGAGGAACCTCCATACTGTTTTCCAAAATGACTGTATTAATTTAAATTCCCACCAACAGTTTACAAGGGTTTCCTTTTCCACACATCCTCAACAACATTCTTTAATCTCTTATATTTTTTATAATAGCCATCCAAACAGATGTGAGGTAATATCTCATCCTGGCTTTAATTTGCATTCCCTGATGATCAATGATGTTGAGCATTTTTTTAATAAACCCATTGGCTATTTGTATGCCATCTTTTGAGAAATGTCTTTTCAGGTCCTTCACCCAATTTTTAAAATTGGATTACTTGTTTCCTTGCTATTGAGTTCTTTCAGGTGCTTATATATTTTTATATTAACTCCTTATCAGATGTATGGTTCACAGATATTTTCTCCCATTCTGCAGGTTGTTTCCTCACTCTGTTGATTGTTCCCTTTCCTGTGCATAAGCTTTTTAACTTGATAATTCCAATTGTTTATTTTTGCTTTTGTTGCCTGTGTTTTGGGGTTATATCAAAAAGCAATGGCAACAAAATACCAATGGCAAGAAGTTTTCCCATTTCCTCTAGATTTCAGAGCGGGATTGTCCAGTATGGTAGCCACCATTTAAATGTGTGACCATTTAAAGTTAAATTTAAACAGAAGTGTTACTCTTTCAGGTCTTACGTTTAGATTTTTCATCCATTTTGAGTTGATTTTGTTATATAAATTGGTTCTCTAGTCTTACTGTAAAACTCTCAAAGACTTTATGTAAGATTGGAATTTTCAGCTCTGAGAATTCAAACTGGCACACAAAACTGACTGAGGCGGGCCGGGCGCGGTGGCTCAAGCCTGTAATCCCAGCACTTTGGGAGGCCGAGACGGGCGGATCACGAGGTCAGGTGATCAAGACCATCCTGGCTAACACGGTGAAACCCCATCTCTACTAAAAAATACAAAAAACTAGCCGGGCGAGGTGGCGGGCGCCTGTAGTCCCAGCTACTCGGGAGGCTGAGGCAGGAGAATGGCGTGAACCTGGGAGGCGGAGCTTGCAGTGAGCTGAGATCCGGCCACTGCACTCCAGCCTGGGCGACAGAGCCAGACTCCGTCTCAAAAAAAAAAAAAAAAAAAAAAAAAACTAACTGAGCCTGGTGTTCTCCTTAAGGACAGATATTTTTTAACTGAAGATTCACGTTTTTCATAAACATAGGATGATTCAGGCTTACTATTTCTTCTGGAGTCAGTTTTGGTAATTTATATTTCCTGTAAATATTTCTACTTCACCTGATTCCAGATTGATTGTCATAAAGTTGTTCAATATATTCTATTTTATTACCTTTCTATTATTACAAATAGAATTATAATTCTATTTGTAATTGTGCCTTCTTTCACTTTTGGCATTGGTTTGGTTTGTTTGTAATGTCTTCTCTCAGTTTTATTGAACTTTTTGATTCTAAGGATTGATTGTTTTTTCCCTTTATTCCCTCCCTCCACTCAAAACCAAAACCAACTCAGGCAAGTGTCTTTTCCTACTCTGTTACTCAAGAATCACAGTCAACTTTTTCTATAGAGGGCCAGGTAGTAAATTTATTCTCTTCTGTGGTCCATACGGCTGCAACTATTCAACTCTGCCCTCGTTTTGCAAAAGCAACTACAGATAATATGATAAGGAAAGACATGGCTGCGTTTCAATGAAACTTTACAAAATCAGGTAGTAGGCTGCGTTTGGCTTACAGGTTGTAGTTTGCACATCCCAGCTCTAGATCCAGCTGCTGTAAAAAGCCCAGCTTCAGATGCCTCCCTCTAAAGAGGATATTGATTGCCTGTCCTCCGCCCTACTCCCAGGACAAAAACTGGATGACAATTGCTTATCTTTCCAGTTTCACTTACTGTTTCCAGCTTTGAACCTCTTCATCACTTCCAGGCTTTTCAGACATTCTTTATTTTCACATATGATTAACAACGCATTTTTAAAGATTTATTTTAAATATTCTATCCAGCATTGTTAGATGTTCTACACTGGTTTGGTTTTTCTGGCTATTGCCAAAAATGGAAATCTCGTCACTGGATTTTGCCATAGGGCATCTTTTTCTCTTCCTTCCTTCTTTTCCTTCTTCCTTTCTTCCTCCTTCTTTCTTTCTGCCTTTGCTACAAAGTATGGGAGGAGGTGGAAGTCTGACTCCTGTAACTAAGTGGAAAGCTTCCATTCTCAGGCAAATACTAGGAATAATATTACAGCAGGCATCAGATGAGAGGTCTGACCTGACTGTAACAATTCAACATCACACTTCGGACACACTCTTGATCCACAATTCCTGATTTGCTTGGAAATTGAATCACAAATGATGATTTCTAGCAAGTGTATTTCTGATAGTTGGTCCTTGGATGAATTAATTGGTCACTTTCAGGGAAGCACTGGTTGACCAGGGTTTAACTGAAGACAATGTAAAAGAACATTCTGTTACCCAGAGAGTACAGGCTTATGTCCTGTGGGAGGAATAACAGAAAAAAAAAATGGTAGCAAGGCTGGGAAAAACTGAGCACCTTTTCCCAGTGGCACCAAGTTTGGGAAGTGGCTGATTCTGCAGCATCTGGATGAGCAGCAAGAACTGGGAGGAAACAGTGGAGCAGTGGAAGATCTGAAGCTAAGAGGCTCAAGGTTGGCCAGTGAGCAATCTCACGGCTGGGAAAGTCTTGCAGACCCAAGACAAGGAGTCCCTACTTTCCTTCTTTGATTTAGAAACTTTTGTGAAGGGTGATAGCTGTGTGAAGACATGGGAGAAACCAACCCTTTAATTGAATTCTATAGGTTTAAGGTTTATTATGGTTTGTGTTGATCAAACCTCTTTATAGCCTATACCTAGAGTACTCAAACTCAGAGAGACAGAAAGTAGAATGGTGGTTACCAGGAGATAGGGATGGGAGGGAAGGAGGGAATGGGGAGTCTGTGTTAAATGAGGACAGAGTTTCTGTCTGAGATGATGAAAAAGTTCTGGAGATAGATGGTGATGAGGTTGTACAACAATGTGAATGTACAAATTTTATGTTATGTGCATCTTACCACAATAAAAAAAAATTTAAATATAAACCAAACAAACCTCTTTGTAATCTCTTTCAAGTGAGGAATTACCAAGTGCTCAACAGGCTGCTTAGAAGGGGAGGCAGGGGTGAGGGGCAATGCCAGGCACATGGCCCACTTTGTACACTTATGATTGCTGTTATTTATTGAGTATCTACTCTCTCTGCCACCTCCTACACTAAGCACTTTACATGTACTCATTCTAATCCTAAGAAAGAGAAAAAGAAAGAAAAACAGGAGCCTGCAAGGCTGTGCGGTACATCATGTAGCCCACATTTTACAGAACCGACTTAGCGTCCTTGTGGTAAGAGTGTTTCTGGTGAGATGGTAAAGTCGTGTGTTTGTGAATCGTACATGATTCAGTTCAATTTTTTTGGAGTTAATGATTCTACAAGAAAATATAGTCGAACTAGACATTCACTTATGGTGGAGCTCCGCTGGGGTTCCTGGGCCTGCTGACTGTTTGGTCCTTAACTCTTAGTAACAGGGCTTCTCCCTCCCTTCCCCCACGCCCAGAGTCCTCCTAACAGAGCCCCTGGCCGAGAGGCTGCTGCTCTCAGGCCCTGGCCAGGGTGATGGATGTGAGTTTGCTCAGTCCTTACTCCACGTGGGATAACCAAGAATGTCCAGATTTTTACTTAAATTAGAACTGGCACACAAAGCACACAGTCTGGCAAAAGAGGACTAAGCAGATACATGTGAACTACCACAGTCAAACAGCCTCTAGTGGCACAGCTGTGGGACATCGATGTACTTGTCAATGGCGGGGATGGGACAGGAGGCTGCAGGCCACTGCACCTTCCTAAGGCCACTCAGGAAAAGGCCAGTCCCCAATTTGTTTCACTGTGAGGCGGTTGCGCGGTTAGAGCCCAGACACGGTCACCAGACTCCCAGACTTGGATTCAGCTCCACATCGTGTCACCCTGGGTAAAGGATTACATCTCTGCATGCCTGGGTTTGTCACCTGGCAGCATGGATGCTCAGGTGACTGACCCGTCAGGACTGCAACAAAAGAACTGAAGCTGCAGGAGCGAGCTGGCTGGTGCTGTGCGGAGCTGTGGTGCAGAAGGCCCTGACCAGGGGTGCCCAGAGCCGGGGTCTGTGCGCCGCGGACTGGGTCCAGGTCACAGGCACTGGGTGAACAGAATGAGAAGACGAAGTGAGGATGTACTCGTTAGATGCTCACGAAAGGCCTTCTTCCCCTTGGTTGGGAACGACCCCCCGGAAACTAGCCCCAGGCCGCACCTGGATTCAGCTGCAGGCAACTCAGAGGAGCACGAGCCCAGGGGCCTCGGGAGGGCTTCGGTGGTTAGGAGGGGGGTGAAGGGAGACTCGGGAGGGCCGCGGATGGGAGGTGTGTGGGGAGGGGGTCCTCTGGAGGGTCTGGAGCCCGCAGAAGCCTGGCGATGACGCAGGCCCAGTGCACTTGTCCCGGGGCTCCTGTCTAGGCCCACAGAAGCTCCATGTTGGTTTCTTTGTACCCACATCACACTTACTGTATTTCTTCTTCTTCTTTCTTTTCCTCCCCCAGCAGCTCTAAGAGCCCTACAGCTTGCATGGAAACGCAACAGACTTCCCTTTTGCACTGTCTGCGGGGACAACTGTTTCAGCCATGAGGGGACGAGGGGACGCTGTGCTGTGGGGAAAGCCCGGGGAAAGCCCGGGTGGCAGGAGGTGGCGGGGCTCCTGGAGGAGGTGCTGGGATGTGCTGCTGTGGCTGCTGAGAAAGGTCCTGAGGACGCAGCCCGCCCCTTCCCCGAGCTTCGAGCTTCCAGGGAGCCCCGCGGGGAAGACCGGCAGGGTCTCCGGGAGGGTGGAACAGGGGAGCCTGGAGTCTCAGGGCTGAGGGGAGCAGAGTCTTTCTGGGAGGTGAGCGTCCCCAGCCTGCCCTCCCTGCTCACTGCAGGTCGCGCACCTGCTCTGCTCTGCTCTGGGCCTCCCCTCAGCCCTGGCCTCGAGGCAGTTTCCTTTCTGCCAGGTAGATTCTGTGCAACTTCATTTATTCAGAATCTGGATCAACAAATGAACACTCAGGGAGGAAAGGGTGTTTGGAGGGGTGGAGAGGTTTCCAAGCAGGCGCCCACCTGAGGGACCCCTGAGGGGAAACAAAGGGGACTTAAAGCCAGGTTTCCAGCTCGGCCACCCCTTCCTTTTTTTGTCTTTTTTCTTTTATTAAAAGAAATATAAACAAAGAACTTGAATTATTTTGAAATAACTCTTGGTAGCTGGACTGTGTTCTGTTGACCACAACATTGCTCTGGGACTGAACCGCTGTGGGTCTCTGCTCTTCCTAAGTGTTACATAAGAATAGCGAACCCATGAGGTCAGCTTTAAACCAGTTTCTTCCCATAACCTCCTGGACCAAGGCCCAAGAAAGGCCGGGAGGAGCTCAAGGTCCAACTCTCCCCAGGAGGCGCCTCTTCTCTCTCTAGTTGGCAGGAGGCGATGAATGTCTCCAAGTAATTTAAGATTGTTCGTGTTTGTGTAGAAAAGCCAAGCACGGGCCCATATTCTAGAGGATTGCTTGTGGCAGGCAGAAGGCCATCAAAGACAAACGCAAACAAATGAAAAGGTGTCTTTTGAAGCTAATGGAGCAGATCAGATTGGTGAAAAACAGATTAACAATAGCATTGGCAACAAAACTTTCAGCATAGTGCTTGCCTGAGAGGACTTACAGCCCTTTAAAATTGACAGTGGGACCAGGCACCATGGCTCACAACTGTAATCCCAGCACTTTGGGAGTCTGAGGCGGGTGGATCACTTGAGTCCAGGAGTTTGAGACCAGCCTGGGCAACATAGTGAAACTCTGCCACTACTAAAAATACAAAGATTAGCCGGGCATGGTGGTGCTCACCTGTAATCCCAGCTACTTGGAGGCTGAGGCACGAGAATTGCTTGAACCTGGGAGGCAGAGGTTGCAGTGAGCCAAGATCGTGCCACTGCACTCCAGCCTGGATGACAGAGTGAGACTCTGTCTCAAAAATAAAATAAAATAAAATAAAATAAATAACATTGCCACTGGGTGGGACTATAGACAAGGCAAAGACGTGTCTACAGTTCCAACCAAGAGTAAGGCAATTACAAAAATCAACTTTTGCATACCTAAGGGCATTGCCTAGATATTTGGAATCATATATCTGGTTAATCTGAGTTTTTTCATAGAAAGCAGGTAAACATAGCCAAATTTTATAATGAAGTAAATTTTCAATCTCATGTTAACCTTAACTCTTTCATAGTCTGAATAGATCATATTCACAGTGATATGAGAGCCAGATATTTTAAATAAAATCATAGGAATAATGTTCTTTGTTTATGTCACAATTACACTAAGTCAGCAGTCCCCAACCTTTTTGCCACCAGGGACCAGTTTCATGGAAGACAATTTTCCACGGGCAGGGTGTATGGGTCAGGATGAAACAGTTCCACCTCAGATCATCAGGCATTAGTTAGATCCTCATAAGGAACGTGCAACCTAGATCCCTCATATGTGCAATTCACAACAGGGTTCATGCTCCTCTGAGAATCTAATGCCACTACTGATCTGACAGGAAGCAGAGCTCAGGTGGCAATGCTCACTCACCACTCACCCCATGATGTGCATCCCAGTTCCTAACAGGCCACAGACCAGTATGAGCCCACAGGTTGCAGACCCCTGCTCTACGTAGTCCAAAATGGCTTACCAAATGCACCCTTCCAAATATGCCAGATATTCACTGTGTGCTAAAATTTCTTTATTATAAGAGTCAGAGTTAGTAAATAAAATTATAAAAACAAAAGACACATATAATATAATGTAAAATATGATCCAGATCATGACTCCTTCCTTATGACTTTCTAAAATGTAATATTTTGCTTGGAAAGTGTCACAACTTGTAAGTGTGGCAAAAACTCACTAGAAACAGCATTCTGAGTACTCCCGTGACAACATTGTTAAAACACTCTGAGACCATGCATTTAATATTCTATATTAAGGCCTCTCTACTCCCATAATTTCCCCTACATAGCACTATGAAGTCATGTAAGGGTAGTCAGAAGGAAACAAAACTATTAAAAATATCTTCCAAAAATGAAAAGATGCCAAAAAATCACACAAGGACTTAATAACCATGGTATTTACAATGGAAAATAATGCTTCTGCCAGAAACTCTGTTTTTACTAGCCAAGGCTTTTTTTCATGTTTAATTTTATATACAAGCTTTGTGCCTGGATTTATGATTAAATTATTTTCTTTTCAATTCCCCTTTGTTACCTTGGTTTTGTTGATATTGAACTGTTTGAATTCTACAGCAATAGCAAACAAACATAAAAACCAACTTCTATACACAGTGCTGATTAGGCCCAGCTCTAATCACTGAACCAACTGTAGGAGACAGATACTATTATGTTGCTCTGTATACACGAAAGAGCTGAAGCACTCAGAGGCTAAGTAACTGCCCAAGGTCACACAATTGCTAAGTGGTAGAGCTGGGAATTGAACTCAGGCAAGACTGGCTCCAGAGCCTGTTTCCACCATTTTTCTAAGCTGTCTTTTTATAGCATTTCTAGAACTCTCAGAGCAGCAACCCAGTGATGTTAGCCCAAACTCATCAATTTTGCAAGTTATAGGATCTGTCTGCTCCTTGAACAAACCTTTCTCAAGCACAAATTGGATTCATGTTTTTGCATCTGTATGAAAGGCACAGGGACAGACAGGGGAAAATTTGTGTCTACTACTCCTGAAAGATTCAGAGTTTCTGAGTAAGATGAAGTCATAGAAGTTTCATTTGTCTTTTGGCAAGGGGAGGGGCTGAGCTCAGACTGCAGCATCTGCTCAGCGTAGCCTCCTCCTCCTCCCAAGTCATTCACTCTAGAGTGAGGGGGAGCCTTCGCTGTGCTCCCCAAAGCTCTTTCCTGCCCTAGGGTCCTGCCCTCGACCACCCTCGCGCATGAACTCATCATGGTTCTCCGCAGGTCTCCTCTCTTTGATGCAGCCATTACTCCATCGTCAGGTAGAATATCTTCACCTGTTCCTCTTCTACTCACAGAAGAAAGTTCAGCCTCCTTAGGCCAGCACTAAAGGCCCCAACTCATCTGCTGCAACCCGGAGTCACCTCCTGCCACTCTCTGGGACACTGTGCTCCCAACATAGGACTACTCCCTGGCTCCTCCACCTTTGCTGGGGCCTTTGTCTCTTCTCATCTCTCTCTTTCTTGGCCTTGTGCCGTGTCCTCCACAAAGCCTCCCCAGCCAGCCCTTATAGTGAGAGGTAAAGTATTCCTCCTCTCATCCAGCCACAGCACTCCAGCCTGGGCGACAGAGCGAGACTCCGTCTCAACAAAAAAAAAAAAAAAAAAAAGTATTCCTCCTCTCTGTGCTCCTGGACCTCTGAACCTGCCTCTACCAGAGCATTTGACAGAAATGTTAATAGCCTTCTAGAGCACAAGGGATCCTCTCCTCCTCCCCATTCTCTCTAAGTTGCAAGCACCCTGAGGGCAAGTCACCACACTTTCCAGCCTGTGGGATCTATCTCAGAGTTCCAGGAACCTGAAGGTCAATAAACCTACCTCCCTCCTGGAAAAGAATGTTCTGCAGCCTCCCTGCCCTGCAGGCTGAACAGGGGACGACTCTGCAGAGACAGATTAGAGCCCCACCCTGCTGCCCCAGCTGGCCCTCAGCTTCAGCTGCCGTCTCTCTCTCCAGAAAGGCCGCTGCAGCCCTCTCTGCATCCCCTTGGTGTCTGCGTATACCCCTGAAGGGTGGTACAAAGCAGGGGGCAGTAAAATGAGGCACAAATTCACATTAAAATATATACAATTCAGTGAGCAGTATTACACTGAGGCTTTGCAGAAAGCTCCAAGGGAGCAGGAAAGAAATCAGACCTTCCCCACCCCAACCCCGGGATTTTAGAGAAAACTTCATGCCGCTGGTAGCCCTCCAACTGAAGGATGAGGTCAAGATGGGACCTGCTCATCCCCAAACTGCCCGCCAGACCTCAGTGTGGCTGGTGTGTCCCACAGCATTGGTGCACACTCAATCCATGCAGAGAACTCAAGGAACAGCAAAATGCAGGCCCAGCGGGGTGGAGTCCTGGGAAGCCTGTGGACAACCGCAACACAGCACCGCAGGATTCATTCATTCCTTCAACAAACACCACTGAACAGGTACTACATACTGACCAAGGGCTACATTAAGGCTAGGATGATGAGCAGACTGCTCCCCATGCCCGGGGACAGATGAGGAGGATGGCCATGGTTCAGATGCACGACCACTTGGCCCAGTGCCAGCTGCTGGAAGAGTGGAGACTGGCATGGGCTGTGTGTGGGCAGAGAGGTTTCTCCAGGGAAATGGCTGCTGTGGAGGGAGGGGACAGGGGTCAGGGAGAACACTGGAGATAGCAGAAGCACCAAGGATAAACAAGACCTGGAGGGGAGCTCCCACCCCAGGGCTGGAAGGGGAGCCCCAGAGGCATTCCAGGCTGGAGTGATGTGTTCACGCCTGTGTGTTACTCTTCTCTTCCCCAACTGAAGTCAGAGAAAGACCGTGGAGACTAGTCAGAAGTCTCAAAAATCTAGCAGTTTGCAGCTTGGATTTGGAGTCGGGGAGTGGGTAGAGGTGGACATAAGAGGCTTGGAGGAGGTAAATTAGTAGATTTAGGAGAGTGGGGTGGAGGGGAGGCTCAGGGACACTCTGATTACTCACTTACATCACTGAACCTTCACCACGGCTTCTCTGACATTTCCTTGATGCATTCATCAGCTAGTTATGAAAGCTTCAGGGAGAGCTTGGAGATAAAAAACTATTCAGGCTCTTGCATGCATGTAAATATTATTTTCTTGAATTCAAATTTACACGATAAGTTGGCTGCAAGCAGAATTTGTTTACTTCAAAGCCCTGTACATGCTCTCCAGCAGATAGGAAGCTAAAATTAGCTTGATATATTTGTGGGCATTTTTTTCCTAATTTTAATTAGAAATTAAATGTAGATTAAGTTAGAAGCATGTAATTAATTGCTAATTAATTTTTTTTTGCCAGCACACTGCTCTGCCAATTTTCTAATTAAAATTTTAGTGCCACAGTACTTATAGGAATTTTTAATGCATTTTATTCATGGTTTCTTGTG